TTGGACGAAGTTGGCACTTTTGAAGAAAAGCTGAGGAAACCACACGGGCTGACCTAAATTCCACACGGCCGTGTGACTTAGCCGTGTGGAACACCTTTACGCGGGCAAAGCCACACTGGCCGTGTAAGGGCCCTTTTTGGTCGTGTGGGATATCCAGAGAGTTCACACAGGCAGATCTAAATTCCACACGGCCGTGTGGTTTTGGCCGTGTAGCATACCTGGACTCACTAAATAGAACGCGGCGTTTTGGAGAGCCACACGGGAAGTTGGGGATTTCACACGGCCGTGTGGCATGGCGGTGAGATCGGCCAGAACTGGGTTCTTAACCCAATTTCGGGTCTTTTGAGAGGGGAGACGATTTTCCAGAGCAAAAGCAGAGTCCTAGAGAGAGAAAGTACGAAGTACAAACCCTAGCGGTGATTTTGGAGTTGGGTTTCATCAATCAAGATTGGATTTCATCCTCGGAGTGAAGATTATCATCCCAGAGCAGATTCTTCCCATTGATATGAGTATGACTGCTTTGTATTCTGTTTTCCTCTCTCTCTCTCTCTCTCTCTCTCTCTCTCTCTATGGAGTAGAACTCTCTCTCACTTGGGTATGAAGAACCCTAGTTCCATGTGTTAGGGATATTGATTGTAATGACTTTTGGATTGGTATACTGTGTGATTATAATCGATTGATGCATGATTCATTAAGTCAATTGAAGCCTGGTCAACTTTTCTTGATTTCTGCTGCAACCTGAGATAGATAGAATCTGATTAGGTTGTTAGAGCTTCTTCAATCGGTAGTAGTGAATCGATTATACGAGAGTTAGTCGATTCACTGCTTTGTACTGGAATCCAATTCCAGTAGTGGAGTTCTGTGTTAATTGCCTCAACGTTCTATCCTGGTGAAGACTAGTCGTCTGCTGGGTAGTCTGTCTGAGAGGGCTTGGTCAGCTTAAGAGATTTCAAGCTACTGTCGGATCTTCCGCAGTTTAATCAACAGTAAATCAATCCAAGGAAATTACAACTTTGACCTAACTAAGGAGGTAGGGGGACTCATTCTCGAGTGACTCTTCCCTTGCTTAAGAAATTCGAACTATTTCCTGCTTTCTTACTGCTTTTGTTTTCAATCACTCTCACTACACTTAGTCCCGCTAAATAACAGGTAGTCACGGAGTAGGCAGTAGATCCAGACCCCGGGTTGATAAATTGAACTTGCCACTATTCTGCATTTCCATTCTGCGATTGCACTTGGTCACAGTTTGGTGTTGTGTTTTAGCGTGTCAAGAGTCAGAATACCGCCGGTAACTGAAGGAAAAGCTGTAAAAAATACCAACATGGTGAACAACATGGCTATGTCCAAGACTACATCAACATCAAACGTATTATCCAACACCCACATGTTGAAGATCATATCATCAACAACCAAAAGATAGAACACGCCCTAACAACACGTTTGTGTTATCCCCCGTGTTCACAATTGTGCATCCCCAATTGAAGCCACGACAGCAAAATGTTATTCTATCAATGTGGGGAGACCACAAGTCCATGTTACAAACCGTGTTCTCCACCGGACCATGTTACACATTTATTCCACATGGGAACGAGCATTTACGTCATTGCCGGTTGATGTGACTAACACGATGGAAGAAAACGACCATTTCCATGTCGTGTCAACCTAATACAGCGCAATCCAAGCGAGGAACCGATAGAATTTTGCAACTATCAATGCACACGGCCAGGAACACGACCATGTTCACTGACCACGTTAACTAAAAAACGACTAATCAATTTCTGTAACACTGGCCACATGGATTGCTCGACCCGATACGAACACGGTCTGGAATACGATCGTGTTTCCAGGTCGTGTACGAGCTACTGCTACCTATAAATTGAAGTTTGGAAGAGAAGAAAAACACACCACACACCCTACTTCTATACTTTGTTCTTCCTTTCTTGTGTTTGAAGTTAGCCGAAACTCTGTCCATTTCCATTCCAAACTCTTGTTACTTCTTTTCGTTTCATTAATCATATATTGTATTTCATCCATCATGGTTCTCATGTGCGTGTTCGTAATTGGGAAGACCATGGTACATTCCGTTATTGAGATTACCGAAGTAGGCTTCTGTTCTGTGGGGATTTGATAATCATTTGTGGTGGTAGATTGGTCGGTTTCCACTGTCTTCGCCCAACGATTATCCCCCTGTCGGAAGTTTACTAGGTGTAATCTATTAACTCAATATTTATATAATGTAGAAGGCATCATATGTATGTATATATATTGTATTCTCGACCACTTTGTTCTTCGTCAATGTCATCATCATGGTAATGTTCTCAACCTTCATCTTTCTAAATCTCATCATGTCCGGCTAATCTTCTAGTTGTTCCAGATTTGATGAACCCTTATATGTTTTACATGGATTGAGTGGTATCTTTGATATAGACATGTTGTTCTCATTATTACGATCTTTTCTCGACTTATCATGTGCAAGTATCTATAGTACGTGTCTATTGTATATTTTATCTGATGCATGCAAATGAGACTCGGAGGTGATTTCGCATTTAGATCTCTCGTGAAAAGAAGGAATTGATCGGAGCCACCGGCGATGGGTTCACGTAGTTCCTCTGGATTAGATTAAAAACCTAATATGAAAATTCACAAGTCTAGTTAATGAATTGGTTTAAGAGTCTTGTAAGCCAAGGTTTCACTTGATTCTTAAGTCGAAAGGGTGTTAATACATGTGCGAACAGGTTAACACTAAATTTGAATTTTTCACGGTCTAAGATAAGAACACTCATCTATGTCAAATTCATCTCGTCTGTAAAACACATATTAAGGGGATTCACTTCCGGGACAATGTCTTCTCCACTTGATTTAACTTTGAAAACTATTCTATTGTGTTTTTATCATTGCGTGTCTTTTATATCTGAACAAAATCACTAAAAACGATTGGCTAAATAATGGGTAAAAGCCGAATACTAGTACACATAGTCAATGTGGATACGACCTTGCTTCCTGCTATACTACCCTAGAACGATAGGTACTCGTGCCTATTTTTTCTGTGTTAGTTACAGGCGATCACTCCCCCATCCCAGCAATATTTAATGGAAAGTTCTTAGCTCCAACTTCGGTTGGAGGCAGAAGCTCCAACCAAGCCACATGTCAGCTTTTTATTAGTGAGCTCATCTTTCTTTTTTATATTTTAATTCTTGATTTATTGAGCATAATTAAGAATATTAAATATTAAAAAAATGAAGGTAAGTACATCGATTGAAAAATTGACATGTGGATGATTGAAGCTTCTGCATCCAACCAAGGTTGGAGCTAAGAATTTTTCTTAATTAATGGGCGATAATTGGTTGATTTATGGGGACATGACACCATATTATTGGTTCAAGTAATATTATATAATTAATTTTAATTGGATTAGTAGGGGACAGACGAAAATGCTTTATTTTAAGCAGCCCAAACGGTGCCTGCTTAAAAAAATTTACTACTTTTGTACCCGTCCCGTTGGCCGATTGAGTTTAATTTGATTATTTATGTTAATTAAGCTAATTCGTTTAGATTATTTATGATATTTTGTTATGTTTTTGTAATATATTATTTTGAATAATTTTTTCGGACATGTGACTTCATTATTGATGGTTGAACTATTGCATAACATATTAAGCAATCACTTAATACTCAGTCAACAATTTTTTTTGTTTTTCGCGAAGGCAATGCATGTTTTAAAGTTAATGTACTCAACTCTTAATAGAGGAATGAGACTTTACCACCGAGCTGTGAAGTGCGTGGGTGGCCGAGCGATGAAAGCCTTACAATTTAAGGAGGGAAATAAAATAATTTTTCATAATTAATGGCGCATTTCATTCGGCTAGCAAATGGAGACAAAGCGTCACCCAATGCATCCAATTTTAGAAGAGAATTAATAATATATTTTTATACAATAATGGGTGAAGGGCTGAGAGCTCAACTATAATATTAAGTAAGGATTCTATATATTTGTGATATATTCTTTTATTAATTGAAAAAGGAGATAATAAAATTAAACACACGGTTCTTTACCTCTTGCTTTCCATTCTTATATTGTAGACTCTATTTTTCTTAAACATCATGGGCATAGTTTTCACTTTCTTAATATTTTTTTTATATAGAGATGCATATTAATATGCCTAATAGATTCTATCTACAAATATTTTTGTTGAGATATCGACATTCTTGTAAGGGCTTTTAGCCCAATGGCTTGTCTCGGGCCATAGATAGCTAATGAGAATGAATGTAGAATAAAGCTAGGGTTAGGGTTTCGTAGTCTTCTGTGTGTATATATATACGTACCTTTGTGTATGCTGTCAGATATGAGAAATAAGAGAAGTAGATAGCATGGCAGTGGACTAGTCTTGTTCACAACAAACAAGGAAACCACGTAAAATCCGTCTCGCCCCTATTTGTTTCGATCATTGCTATTACGTTTTGGTTATCAGTTTTAGGTAGATATAATCTAAAATTTAGAAAGCATACTATCAAATGAATTAAGTACAATAGGTAACTCAAGGGCCAAAACTTCCATTCCAAATGAATTGCACAAAAAAAAAGCAAGTACAAAATTCATCCCCTAAATGCTAAATTAATTCTATGATAATAATCTTTTCAAACATAATTATAATCCTAGTAAGGTACCAAGAAAAATAAACATTATACAATATACGTGTGGATTTGATATAAACAGCTGCAAAAAATGAAGATAAGAATAATATTAGTCTTGAAATTTCGAATAAATCAAACCAACTAAATAAATAATAAAATTGAATTCATACATTTAACAATTGTGTGAATGATATATTGCTTGCAAAAGATGTAGATTCCAAATTTCTCCAGCTGAACTAATAATAGATCTTTGTTCATCACCTAAAATTAACCAATTGTTAAGATATGATTCATATGATATTTTTAGATAACTCATTATAAAAATACTATCAGATTTCTTTGTAATATAAAACAAATGATGGAAAACTTGATTTTTCTGTATTTGTAGTTCAGTGCTACTTACCGAGAAGAACTAGTTTTCACTTTCTTACCCTGTATATAATAAATAATGACTAACTAATATAAAATAATAGTATAATAAATTTATATTATAGAAACAAACAAGGGGAAAAACCTTTAGTTTTGATTGAACTATATCACTTTTTTATCGCTTTAATGCACCTTTAGTTCTTCATTTTGGTCATCCAAGACCAATGGTAGTTTTGATTTAACTCCAGCTACAGTTGGATATTCTTCTTCATGATTAGAACATAATATCTCATTAAATTTTCCACCATTTGAGCACATCTTCATTTCCTGCAAATCTTTCAGCAAATTTGAAAAAACTTCACTTGCATGCTCATACATTCCGTCGCTCTCAGCTGCCAATGTAGATATCTCTCAAAAATTATAGTGCGAATTGAAGTAACGCTTCCCTATGAGTTTCTCATAACTTCCCTGCACTCAAACTGAACTTCTCATATCGCCATCTTTTGCATCCTTTGTCCATCTCTTTGATATGTATTACTTTGGGATGTGCTTTATATTTTTCTTGTCAATAACCTTCATAGCATGAGCACATAAAATCCTCACAAACGCAAACTTCATGCAACTACATTCAACTGCTTGATATGAAGACTCAAACCAGACATGATGCCCTACACCTCTACCAGCATATTTCACTTTATATTCCGCCCGACCTTCAGTGCAACTACATTCAACTGCTTGATATGAAGACTCAAACTCAAACTTCATGCAGCTACATTCAACTGCTTTCAGATATTCTTCTTCGAACAACATAAAGACTTTAGGAGTGTACAATTCTGATGCATGCCTTAACATCTCGACGTCAGCTTTTAACACAGGGCGGGTGTCCCTCATTTGAACTATGAAAGTAGTTCTTGGTAGCTTCTATCTTCTATCAACTTGTTATAGCGGTGAAAAAGTATACCATATTGTGTTTCGGCTGCAGATACTTCTTTAACACACTTTTAATTGATTTACTGCGCTGTGTACTTTTCATATCAGCAGTAAACATATGACGTCCATAAACTATGGCCCACTTTTCTTTTACTGAAAATATAACACCATGCAACCATTCATTGTTCCCCATACCATACTTGTTAAGCATATCATCCCAACCTGTAATCCATTCATCTTCATCATCATATATACATGAACTAAAATCACTAGCGAATTGGTCGAATCTGTGAAACACATGGCTCAAGTTCTTAGCAGCATTTTGATAAATATGTCAAACACATAAACGACGATGAGTTTCAGTAAATACCTCTTTGTTTGCTTTGACCATAACAACTTATTGATTTGTCAATATTGTCTTAGGTTGCTTTTCATCAATTGCACCCAAAAAACGCTTCAAACAACCACTTGAAGGAAGTGATTGTGTCATCATAGAGTAACGTTGTCCCTAAAATTATCGTCTGCTTCATATGATTTACTCCAACAAATGGAGGAAAAGGTCGACCATATTCATTAGTTCTATAAGTGGTATCAAAGCATAGAACATCTCCAAAGTACTTTTAGTCAGTGATTGACCCACCATCAACCCAAACATATTCATGATAAAATCATCATCATCAAATTGCACCGAATAAAAAATTATAGATCCTCTAATTGTGCTTTACAAAAATAATCCATAATTTTCAGACCATCTCCCTTAATGATTGTAGCCTTTCTTTGTGTCACAATATAGATTCTATAGTCTGAATCGAGAAACTCGTTGTTTTCACGACCTCCATTCTGAATTGCTAGTAAGTCAATAGTTGCCTTGATTGGTAACCTAGCTCTCTCATCATCATCTGCAACAGCCTTATGAGCATAACTTATCTTCCTGTTGGACCTCAACATATGCTTCATGGGAGTGGTGGCAAGTTCATGGTAATGATCTGCTTCAAAAGAAACAACCTCTAGCAAGCCTTCAAAGGAAACAAACATCCGATTCTTGAAATTGGTCGCTCAAAAGCCACATGCTCAAGCCTTTCATCACAACCTTTTTTGCCTTCTTTTGAACAGCAAAATATATTTCTCTTCACTTTCCCTACTTGATTTTGCTTTATATAGTCTTTCCTTGCACTGAAACCAATATTGCAGACATATGCTTTATAAAATTCATAAGCACTATCATCACCATCGAACTTCATATTTGTACATGACACTTCAACTTTTTCCGCACTTGTTTTAGAACTCATATGTGTTCCTCTTCATAGGGAATCCAAGTTTCACAAAGTAAACCTGCATAACACAAATCAAAAGATAACAAATTGAATTAATATTAGCCTAATGAACTAATGCCATCATAGTATATAAAGAAATGAAATTTTTTTGTTTCATATATGTTGGTTGTGTATGTAGACACCACATTTTGTTCGGGATAATCATTCTCCTAACAAAAATATTGATTGTAGCATTACGCTACAATTATATTTGAAAATAAAGTGTAGTTGATATTGGTTGAGACTAGCAGTGACGAGTCAATATAAACTAATAATAATTATAAATTTAAAATTATTAGGAATTTAGTACACTCATGGTTTGGGATTCAATATAGATTACAATTAATGGAAACAAAATCATGAAAAATAAAATATACTTTGCCATTAGATTTCTTACATTGTACATTGCTTCAAGAATTACATCTATGATAATGAAAGAAAGATCGTAATTACATACAATTACAAGAGAGAACTACAAATAAAGTGGAAACACGGAAAAAAATCATTGGCTTATAATATTAATTAATCGGGCCGTGAAAAAATTCAAGCTTTGAGACATAAATCAGGTCCCTTGGCCCAGCTTTTTTTTTTTACTCTACCAAGCCCAGGTACCTGCAAAAAAATCAGAAGAGACCAATTAGAAAAAAACAAAAACAGATTCGAAGCCCAATTCGTTCCCAATTGTTTACCCAAAGGCAGGACTAGTCTAGGCCCAACATAGATCCACACCAGAGCCCAACTCGGCCCATCTCCATGACCAACTCTATCCAGAACCGACTTCATTGAGGACACCAATATGGCAGGTTCAACCTCAAGGAAGAACAATAAGAATGTGACATCAAGGCATTCGTTTTTTGCTATAAGAATAGCTTTTCAGCTCTTGCTTTAGGGGGACGAGAAAAAAAAACTCTACAGAAATACAGATCAGAAACACTACCTTCTTTTCACTCTTAGAGGAAGTTCAGTTCACAGTGTACGATCGAGGAGGAGAAAAGGATTTTCAGAGGTGCAAGGATCCACCATCTAGAGATTTGGAAGGAGTAGCTTAGGCTCAGGGATTCCAACCAGGTTGGTAACTTGCAAACTTTCTTCTTATTTGAATCCGTTCCATATCCAATTTTCTTTGCTATATTACTTCCAATTACTACTGTTCAGTGAGCAACCTGTTGCTATCAATACTTGAATCATGATCTTCTCGTTCAAATACTCTCTTATTATCAACTATCTATTTACTTTCCAAGCTATTTACTTGCTACGCCTATTTGATACCCCTATTTTACAAAGCTCTATGCTCAAACAAGTCTCCTAGTTTACTTTATGTGTAATCTTACTTTTATTACACTAGTGCCTTAGATTCCTCTTTAGCATACAATCAAAAGGAAGTAAGCTAAAATTGCTTTTCAGAAGTCCATGGATTAAATTAAACTAGATCCAGATCCAACTAAACACAATAAATTCAGATTTTGAAAACCCACAAATCAACCATACTCTATTAAAAATCGCAAGCAGTGACGGCAATTCATAGGAGTTAACATAGAGTTCATAACCAACACCATAAACACATTAATATTCAGATTTCAAAAAAACCAGCAGCAAAGTCCATAATCTAGCGACATCACAAGCAGTAGCAGTGATTTATAGTCCTTAGTATGGCAAAATCACAGACAGAGCTAGTGATTTACAATCACCAAAACTAACAATTTACAGCATGTTAATTACTTCCCATGATAGAAAATTCTATTTTTAGCAAATTCTAGCATATCAAAACTATATCTGAAACCATCCATCAACCCCATCAAAACGTCAAAATACCAGATAGTTAAAATTCATTCACAACCTTATTTTCAAATATTCGGACCTGCAAATCAATTAGATCTACCGCAGAATAATCCGTTTTTTAGTTTTTTAGATCTCTCAATCCCAAACTGATCCGAGTTTAGAGGAACCTACCTAGATCTGACTTTTATTTTAAAACCTGCAACAAAAAGAGTAGAGGTCAGGATAGATTAAAAAGGTAATAAATATAAAGTAAAATTATCTAAACCTAAATACCTCACCAATAAAAGGTCGTCGGTAGTCTCTGCGGCGTTAGTCACCGGTCGCCCTCCACCGGTCGCCAACGACTCCCTCTCTATCTTCCCTCTTCTCGACCAAATCCCTAGTCCAATACCAAAACAAAGAAAAAACATCAGAAATCCATATCTCAGAAAATCGAACAAATACGCAAACCGAAATCTTACCTAGATCTCGTTCTTTTTCTTTCTGGCCGTCGATCGTCATCATCGACGAGATAAACCCCCCTTCGTCGGAGTTCCCATTCTCCTCCCCTCATCCGAAAGCAAAGCCCATAATAAAATAAATCAGCACTCGGTTTTTGAAGTAGAAACCCAAAAAAGAACGAGATCCACTAGATTATAGTTAACGAGGTTCAAACCCCCGTGCTCGGTATTAAACGCGCCCTTCTTCTGGCGGTTTAACTAGTTGGGCTGCTGGCCCATCCTGCATAAATCTAATCATCCTCTTTCATTATATCTATTAATCCTTAATACGAAATTTTGAATGCGTATTATGTTAATCCCATTTCTTTTCTAATACATGAAATCTCCTCTTAATAACTGAAATCCTTATATTCTCTTTTCATAATTTCATAATAATCAACTTAAATTTTATTAACAAAAAATCTTTCATACGAGAACCACGATCAGCGGAATATGGTAAAAATTATTTCTAAAATTATCAAAGTTTTAACGAACTACGTGGACTTTGATCCCGTATTACAAGTACGTAGGCAACCAACAAGGTTCGAGTCCAACTAATCGACTAACTTTATCTTTGAATTATACGTCAGTGGGAGTATAATCAAATCCAACTAACTGATAAAATTTATTTTTGAAATGAACGCCACTGGGCGTATGATCAAAATTATAAACCAATACTATAAAACTCTTTAGCGGTCCAATGGTACTCGAAAAATACATAAAATACACCCAACTCGTATAAGACTTATCAACTTAAGCAGTACCGATTTAGGGCGTTGTGGGGGTGTTGCTTAACTTCCTCACACGTAACCGTACTCCCGAACCCATATCTCTTAACCGTAGAGCAAGCCTCGGTTCTGACCTAAGATTCGAACCGATCGATAAGTGTTCGATCCACTCCAAGTAAGATCGATGGTGACTCCAAAAAGCGAACGTGACCCGACTCCGAAGGGACGGTTGCGACAATGTACACTAATAACTAATAACAA